TATGTGTGTGTGTGTGTTGGGTGTATGTGTGTTGGTGTATGTGTGTTGGGGTGTGTGTGTGTGTTGGGTGTATGTGGTGTGTGTGGTGTGTGTGGTGTGTGTGTGGGTGTGTGGTTGTGTGGGTGTGTGTTGGGTGTGTGTGTGGGTGTGTGTGTGGGGTGTATGTGTGGTGTGTTGGTGTGTGTGTGTTGGGTGTGGTGTGTTGGTTATGTGTTGGGTGTGTGGATTATTGGTGTGGTGTGTTGGTGTGTGTTGGGTGTGTATGTGTTGGTGTGTGTTGTGTTGGTGTTTAGGTGTGTGTGTGTTGGTGTGTGTGTGTTGGTGTGTGTGTGTGTGTGTTGGTGTGTGTGTGTGTTGGGTGTGGTGGTGTGTGTATTAGTGTGTATTAGAGTGTATATGTCTTAAAGTATGTGTGTATTAGTGTGTGTGTATGTGTTTAAGTGTGTGTGTGGAAGTATATGTGTGTGTTAGGTATATATGTGTGTGTGTTAGGTATATGTGTGTATTGAGTATGTGTGTGTGTGGTATGTGTGTGTGTTAGTGTATATATTTTATTAGAGTGTGTGTGTGTTAAATGTGTGTGTGTGTGTGTGTGTGTGTGTGTGTGTGTGTGTGTGTGTGTGTGTGTGTGTGTGTGTGTGTGTGTTTGTGTGTGTGTGTTTGTGTGTGTGTGTTAGTGTATGTGTGTGTTAGTGTATGTGTGTTGGTGTATGTGTGTTGGTGTGTGTGTGTTTGTGTGTTAGTGTGTGTGTGTGTTAGTGTTGTTGTGTGTTAGGGGGTGTGTGTGTTAGTGTGTGTGTGTGTTAGTGTGTGTAGTGTATGTGTGTGTTAGTGTGTGTTGTGTGTGTGTGTGTTAGTGTATGTGTGTGTTAGAGTGTGTGTTAGTGTATGTGTGTGTTAGTGTGTGTGTCTGTGTGTGTGTTAGTGTATGTGTGTTAGTGTGTCAGTGTTTGTGTTAGTGCGTGTGTTAGTGTGTGTGTCAGTGAATATGTCTGTTATTGGGTGTGTGTCTGCTAGTGAGTGTGTTACTGTGTGTGTCTGTTACTGAGTGTGTTTGGTGTCTGTTAGTGAGTGTGTGTTTGTCAGTGAAAGTGTATGTTTTGTTAGTGAGTGTGTATGTATGTCTGTCGCTGAGTATGTCTCTGTCAGTAAATGTGTGTGTCTGTTAGCTAGTGTGTATGCGTCTGTTCGTGAGAGTGTGTGTGTGTGTCTTCAGCATTTACCTTTCTCCAGCGTCGGACTCCCCAGTGTCCGCCACTCAGCTCCAAAATGCACATGCGCGGCAAGAGGCGCGCGCGCATTTAAACCGCCCATAGGAAAGCATTACTCAATGCTTTCCTATGGACGTTCAGTGTCTTCTCACTGTGATTTTCACAGTGAGAATCGCGGAAGCTCCTCTAGCAGCTGTCAATGAGACAGCCACCAGAGGCTGGATTAACCCTCAGTGAAACATGTTTTCAGCTGCAGGGTTAAAACTAGAGGGACCTGGCACCCAGACCACTTCATTGAGCTGATGTGATCTGGGTGTCTGTAGTGGTCCTTTAAGTGTGTGTGCATACCGCGGTCGCGGAGTCGCAGCCCTGTAACCCCTGTGACCAGGTGCCCGCCACCATGTGTTGCAACCCCGACCCGCGCCGAGTAAGCGCGGGGGGGCCCACGGATCAAGTTTTGCACCAGGGCCCCATGGGTCATGTCTACGCCACTGACTCAGGAGATGTTGCTCAACACATATTGGGGTGTTCTTTGTCCATAACACATAACAGGAACTGATAACCCATGCCTAAAGTACAATATGAGAGAAAAATAACGTAAAAAATGACTACCCAAAAGTTTGACAAAGACTGGTGGTAGAATTAGTGCATGGAAAGTGTTAAAATACCACCATTTGAAATACCCTAGGGTGTCTACTTTTCAAGAATACATGGTTTGATAGGGGTGAATTACATTGGCCAGCTTCAAAAATGTCCCAAATAGGACATGGGTGCATGGTGACCAGCTGTAAAAATTCCAAGTTGGAAAATTGGAATACGCATCCTCCAAATAAGGTCTTTTAGCTCACAGAGAACACCACACACCTATATATGGGTGTTATCATTGTACTCAGGAGATGTTGCTGAACACATAGTGTGGTGTTCTTTGGCAGTAACCCTTAAAGTTTTCCGTACATGTATTCTTAATTTGCTATGTGTCAAAGAAATCACCATGTTTAAATTTGGCATAGATTGGTGGTAAAATGGTTGCATGAAAAGAGTCAAAATACCCCAAGTTTAATACCTTAGGTTGCCTTCTTTTAAAAAATATATACATGTGAAGGGTTCTTCAGGGATTCCTGAGAGATATCAGTGTTACAATGTAACTTGCATTAATTTTGAAAAAAAAAAATGGTTTGGAAATAGCAAAGTGCTACTTGTACTTATAGCCCTATAACTTCCCCCAAAAAAACTAAGAACATCTTAACATTGGGTATTTCTAAACTCAGGACAAAATTTAGAAACTATTTTGGGGGTCAAAGTTCGAAAAAGTTTGTTTTTTTCCATTTTTTCATCATATTTTTTTTTTTTATATAGTAAATTACACAATATGATAAAAATAATGGTATCTTTAGAAAGACCATTTAATGGCGAGGAAAACGGTATATAATATGCGTGGGTACAGTAAATGAGTAAGAGGAAAATTACAGCTAAACACAAACAACGCAGGAATGTTAAAAGAGCCCTGGTCCTTAATGGTAAGATTGAAAAACGGTCTGGTCACTAAAGGGTTAAATAGATTTTCTGGTTAAAACTTGAAATGTAGCAACAGAAAATCTGAATGGTGAAATCTAAGATAAAAATAACCCAGTAGTAACTATAGGTGGTTTGGACATTATTTCCATATCGTCTATTTTGCCATTTGGATTTTCGTTTGTTACAAGAATTTGGTGAACAACCCTATTTGTATTTTGTTTGACCATCCATAGATTTTTCATATTTTTATCATTGCCATCTGATTGCTTCACACCAGATCCCCAAAAAGGTTTATATCACCCCCCATGCCAATTGTGCCTTATAATTTGACAGCCTTCACAATATTTTCAGAAGGTTAATAGGCACTTGTTTTGCTTACTGTGGTACAACATCTCTTAGATACTCAGAGGCACCCTTATTGTGCACCAGTTTATTTGTTGGCAAAACTCTATGAAATGCTATGCATTTGGATTCTAACTGTGCCACACAGAACATCTGTTAGGTTAAAGGAACAGTACAGTGTTAGGAATACAAACCTGTGTTTCTTTTCTTTTTTTTTCCCCATATATCATTTTTATTAGAGAATGTTATCAATGCATATAATATCAAAACTGTAACATTTTCATATAACAGAGTAAACAATTGCTATACGACAATTTACAACTATTTTTCCTAGATTGACATCAAAGCTTTGCTTAAACGTATTATGCTGTTGTCCTCGGGTAATTGTAGCCTTATTAGCTGAGAGACCATTTAAAGGCTCAGAAACAAATTGCAGGTGTTATGGCTTACTTAGCGGATTAGAGTGGGACACTGTGAGCCTAGAATATTGCACATTTTCACAATATTCTAATTTACTGAGATTGTGGATTTGGGGTTTTCATGAGCTGTAAGCCATAATCATCACACTTATGACAAATCACGGCTTGCACTATATTGCTTTGCATGTAATGCGTCTATCTCATATATTAGTTTGCCCTTTTAGGTTGTATTACTGAAATAAAAGAATTTTTGCATGATATTCTAATATTTCGAGTATCACCTGTAAATAAAGAATGTCAAAAAATAAACAAAAATAAATAAATATACAGGACTGGACATAAAAATAAATATATATTATATAACTCCTTGCATATTTTATAAAAAGTTATAAAAATACTCAGAAACTAAAATTAATTTATTCACATCTTACAGTGGGAAAAGGAGAGGTGATAGTCATAGCTCCAATAAATTTGTTCAAGTTTTGTTCAAGGAAAACAGGAGCAGAGAGTTTCTTGATGCATTACCTATGTAGTAAGCTTAAGTAGGTATGGTCCTTAAAGAATCTTTAAGAAAAAGGTCTTAAATTTCACTCTATTTTCATTATATAAAAAAAGTCACTTTATGGAGCCGGCTACACCTTTTTTTAGGCTCCCAGAGGAGATACATCATTACATAACAGGTGTGCCAACAGTTACAATTTTGAAGCAGTACTTCACTTGTTCCTCTAATTTGTGCAACATAGATACTGATAAATGATTTTTCACAAATTAATTTTAGCACATAACCACAACCCCTATCAAATTTATTTTTTCCCAGAATTTTTGCTTACATTTTCTAAACATTCTATTGAATGGATTTTTTTGTGTTGAATAAGACTTGTGTTGTAGCTGAAGCTTTTATCGCATTCCACGCACACATATGGTTTTTCACCAGTATGCGTCCTGTGATGGCGAACCAGGTTTGAACTGTTTGTAAAACGTTTGTCACAGTAACAACATGTGTACGGTTTTTCCCCGGTGTGAATACGCTGGTGTTTCATATAAGTTGCATACTGAATGAAGCTCTTGTCACATATCGAACATTTGTATGGGGTCTCTCCAGTATGAATTTTCTGGTGAACTTTTAAATTCCAGTTGTCTCGAAAGCTCTTGCCGCAATCATTACATCGATATGGTCTAATGCCAGAGTGTGTCTTCATGTGAACATTGAGAATGCCAATAGTTTTAAAATATTTTTCACATATACTACATCTATGTGGTTTAATGCCATGCACAGCTTGCTGGTCAGATGGAGTTTTACGGAAATTGCTCAGATTAACTTTAGTTTGTGATGCCTGACAGCTCGGCAGTTTAGAATCAAGGCAGGCCTCTTTTCCAGTGTAGTCTATTTTCTTACAATCATTTAAATATTTATAACTTGGCATGCAGAGACTTCCAGTGTTTGCTCTTTTAAGTACAATGGAGAGTAGACTTTCTTCTACTTTTCCAGAATTTCCAGGTTTATTTGCCGAAACGTTTTTGGTCTGTGCATTTACCAGTTGCTTTTTGTTAGAATTTTCTTTGTTTGAAAAATGCCCACAGAAATCTTTTGGGATAGGTGATTTATCTGCGATGTAAGGCACATCCATATTTCGTTTCCTCAAATGATCAACTATAGGGGGGAAGAAGTGAGAAATTGTGACTATTTTAAAATGTGTTAACCTGCCATTAAACATTGTCTACACTTATTTTACAATACAAGACATGACATACAGTAATAAGTAGAAATTGTATAAAAAAAATACAGATACTATGCTTAGATTCTCTGTGATAAAACATATTTATCTGTACATGTCTGTTTTTCGTGGAGTGCAGTACAATGGAAAGATGGACTACTGATTCTAACCTTCGATCATCTGTAGCTGTGTTTATCTGAAACAAAAATTGGGGGTAAAAAGTAAAAGATTTAAATTACATTTAACTTTATTCTTTACCTTCCAGTGAAACCTCAGGTTGGTTGTTTTCAGCAAATTCAGACTCGTCATCCTCTTGTTTTATCCAGAGTGAAAACTTTGGATTAAAAACCAGCTCACTACCTGCAAACATTGAATGATTGTCAAAATGAACACTGTAATTACTGTAGTGGTTTTGGTGTCTATTTCGTGTCCCTGCAGGCTCAGCTATGTAAACACTGCCTTTTTAGAGAAAATATAGTGTTTACATTGCTGCCTAGTAATGTGGCTGTTACTGAGACAGGCACTAGAGGGACTTTGTGGGTTAGGACTTATGTTCAGCGTCTCAACACTCTGCATGGACATTCTAAACTCTCTCCATATAGATGCACTGATTCAATTAATCACTATGAGGATATGCTGATGGCGCAGTGTAGTGTTTTTCTGTGCATGTGCAAAAGGCACTTCACCCATTTCATCTCACTGAATTTGTTATAGTGCCTAGGAATCTCCAGGTGCTCTCCCTCCAGTTTAACCCTGAATGAGGGTTCCTGGCTTCCCATATCCCTGCCCCCACTAGAGGCGTGGCTAAGGAAGAGATTATACACTTCCTTTTAGCTATACTGATGGATACGTGAATGGGCACTGTGATTGGCTGAAAGCGGTCACCTGACACTCTTAGTTAATCACAGCCGCCCATTGCAGCTCAGGCTATTGCTTCCACCTTAGCTCGACAGGGTGGGGATGAGATGCCAAGAAGTCAATATAGCCTTAAAACGGTTTGACTTTGCAAGGAAGGAAGGTGCCAGGGGACTCCAGACACTACAGCCACTTCAATTAGATGAAGCAGCTATAGTGCCAACAGTGTTCCTTTAATCTTTTGTAATTTTTTTGCTTTTGATGTCCATTCCTTCACAGAATGCAAATTTGTAATTGTATTACCATAGTTGATATCTACTGTTAACAGATAGCATATCTCAACTAACCTGAATTGTATGTTATACATATTTAGTCTAACAATTGTGTCTTATCATGGAAACGGTTAGATTTGATCTCATTTGATTTATCACCTGCTTTCATTTATCCCCCTTGAAAAATGTGTATGATTTCCTCCCGGTAAACAAGTCATGATATTTACTAAAAAATGTCAATGTAAAAAATAAAAGAAACAGCACAACTGTAAGAGAATTCTAATAATGAAAACTTGATGTTGCTTACTGAAGTTTGTACTGGGGGTCGTACTTGGGGTGCTGGTCCCTTTGTTACACTTTAGATTTGATTGATGAACACTGTGCTTCATTTCTTCATTAAATGGGAAAGAGGGTTCCATAGAGTTCTCTGCTACAATGACGAATTGAATCAAATGTGCAAAAATTGAGAAAAAAACTAACAACACAATACAAACATTACTACTATAAGGAATTGTTGAATCCACATTGTTATTTTTTTCCCCCTTCCAATTCTAAAACTGTCTTGATGGTCATAGTAGTAGCGCTGGGTTCCAAATAGTGAAACTAATGTCTAGAACTACATTTCCCATAATGCCCAGGCACCTGAACATAGGCCCATGTCCATGATAATCACCCATTCATAGTAAAGCATGGCAGTGCCACAGATTAGCTATTCCTGGATTATAATGTAACCTAGTAGCTGTAAACACACACAATTTACCTGCAGAAGAATAATCACTTTTGGGACTCGCTCCAGTAGCATCTTCATCTTGCTTGATCCTTAATAAGATGTCTGGATAAGGAGCTGAAGTTCCTGGTGACAATCATGGGGAGATACAGATAGTCATTTATTTCCCTATTTAATGTAAATGATTTAGCAAAACGTGGCTGAGAAGTTGCAGGTTATTTTAGCGTAATCTAAAACATTGGCATGTGGGTCATAACTAATTTAACTGTTAATTCATCTGTGAGGTAAGATTTAAAAGTGCACCATATTTTAAAGGACCACTATAGTCACCCAGACCACTTCAGCTCAATGTTTTAACCCTGCAGCTGAAAACATGTTTACATAGCAGGGTTAATCCGGCCTCTAGTGGCTGTCTAGTGGCTAACAGCCACTAGAGGCGCTTCTGCGACGCTCAATGCAAAAAAAAAAGAAAATCACATTGAGCAAGCAGAACATCCATAGGAAAGCATTGAGTAATGCTTTCCGATGGGCGGTTTGAATGCGAGCGGCTCTGCCCACGCTTGCGCATTCTGCTCCACTCGGGAGCTGACGTCGGCAGGAGGAGGAGAGTTCCCCAGCACAGAAGGAGCCCGGCGCTGGATAAAGGTAAGTGGCTGAAGGGGTTTTATCCCCTTCAGCCCAGCGGGAGGGGGGTCCTCAGGGTGGGGGGGACCTAAGGACTACATAGTGCCAGAAAAACTAGTTTATTTTCCTCACACTATAGTGGTGCTTTAACCCCTGAAGAAGACTCATAATACTCTTCAAGCAACTGTAGTCCTGGAAGGTCCTGACATTTCACAATATTGCTAAATAAACAAAGTTCAAAGCAGCACACTGCAGATCAAACTGCAAAATATAGATACAAATATCAGAACTGGTAGCTTGGCTACCTTAGCCTTATATGTGCAGTTTGGTTTTCAGTTCATTACAATTCATGGTTTAGTGAATAAACCCAATACAGTAGGGCTGCTCAAAAGGCAGACCCTCAGCTGTTGCAGAACTACAAGTCACATGGTGCTCTGGCAGCATTATGGCTGTCATAGCATAATGGGAGTTGTAGTTGGCAGCAGCTGGAGATCTACCTTTTTGGCAGCCAACCCCCAGGGTTTTTTAAACGTTTTATCTGCCACAGTAATGTTTAGCCTTCTTGTTCCTCACACTACGCGTGCTGACCGTTGCAGGTAGGATATACATATATTTGCTAAAAACAGGCTGTACATGAGGAAACATGTCACAGACAGCCTTGAAACTGAACTGCTGCAGATTTCCTTGTTACATAATGTTATCCCCTAAATCAACTCTGCTTAGCTTACCGGGTGCTCATTTATGTCTCATCCCAAAACTGGTTAACTTTATATTTATCTTCTTCAACTTCCAATGCCAATCATTACACTATTTAATAAAAAATTAAAAAACCCTGTATAACAAGAACATATACCAGGCTTCCCCAAACTACGGCCCTCAAGATGTTGCTGAACTATGACTCCCATGATTCTCAGCCTATCTACTTCATTCATAGAATCCTGGGAATTGTAGTTCAGCAACATCTGGAGGTGCAGAGTTTTGGAAGCATGACCTATACACCATACACACTACAGCCATCAAGTGGGTGCATGGAGTGCACCTTTAATTTTCAAAAGCTTGTTATGACGTAAATGGACACTATAGTCACCAAAACAACTACAGCTTATTGTAGTTGTTCTGGTAAGTAGAATCAGCCTCTTAAAGCTTTTTGCAGTAAACAATTTTCAGACAAAAGACACTGTTTATATAACAGCCTATGGACACCTCCAATAGCCACTTTTCATGTGACTACTAAAGGTGCTTCCTTGGGCAATGCAGCACAGTGTGCAGCACTGACATTCAGTGTCTCCTCCCTCTGCATGCAGACACTGAACGTTCCTCATAGAGATGCATTGATTCAATTCATTTCTATGAGGAGATGCTGATTGGCCAGGGCCGTGTTTGGCTCCAACCCGGCCCACCTTCTTGGCTGATATCAGAATTGACAATCTCAGCCAATCCAATGCTTTTCTATGGGATAATGATGTCAGCCAAGGAGGCAGGTCAGGAGCAGATCCAGCACGAGCAGATTGGAATAACGATTTTACTTTATTTAGGGGGGCAAGGACGGGCCAGGGGGGGCTAGATAGTGTTTTTAACATTATAGGATCAGGAATACATCTTTGTGTTCCTGACCCTATAGTGTTCCTTTAAATTGTACAAAAATTTAAAGCTGGATACACTAACTGGTTTAAAAGTAATACAAACAATACTTATTATGACAGATAGAAGGAAGCTCAAAGTAGTCTTGGAGAGCAACATAAAGATTTTCTCATTTACTTTCAAACTGGAGTCCAGTTTGACACAGATGGGTTTACTCACTAAACCGTTAACTAAATGAACGAAGAACAGCATTTAAAAATGTGGGTTTGTGAAAACCCTCCATTTCAGCTTTAGTCACAGCTCGGGTTCGAACCTACATTTTTTTTCGAACCTACATTTTTTTGTATGTAGGTTTTGGTTTTTATTGACTACAATTCGCTGGTTAGTGAATAAACCCCAAAGTTGCTTCTTAAATGAGGAAGCAATTAATTTATTTTCCATTTCCATTTTATTAAACAGAACACACGTTTACGGGGAAGGACATATATGACTCAAACTCCTACTCATACTTTCAATGACGATCAAACTGAAGGCTCTGCATCAGACTCAACTAAGAAGAACCTCAACGAATATAATTAAAGATTAGGGGGTTGCTTACTAGCAGAAGGAAAGCTGGCACCTGTTCTCACTTCTTCTTTGTTGCTGATAAAAGAATCTTGTTCTTTTCTCACTCTGCACAGAATATCAGGATAAGCAATACTGTAGCCTATGAAAAAGGATTTACAAAACATTATTATCATAAAAAATGCTTTACTGGTGGGTTGGATTGTATCGGAGCTGTGATTGGGACATTATTTGCTGTGTTTGAGGATGAAGGCTGGCTTGTGAGTAGTGTTTTTTCCATGCCCTGTGACCAGATTCAGTGCTAAAGGACTTGTACTCATGTGTCAGAACATCAGTGTTGAGGTTGGCAATTGATTAAAGGGTTACTTCAACTGCCATAACCGCTTCTGCTTTTTGAAGTGGTCATGGTGGTAGGAAGCTGGATGTGCAGAGTTAGGGCAATTTGCACCCCTAGCACACATGACTTGGACAGCCCAAAACTCTGTTCTGGGCTACCTAATGTAAATTCTGTGCATAAACTATGTCTGTGTCCGCTTTTCCCTTGCATGCTCAGGAGAAGCTCTTCTCCCCCCCTCACTCCCACACTGAATGAAGCCCTCCCTCCTCCCATTCCCCTTATTTATTTATTTTTTTAATTACTTGCCACCTCCTCCTTTCCCTCCCTCCATCCCACTGCCAGCTCAGAGAGCGTGCATGCTCTCTGAGACTGTGAAATGGGCCTTGGTGCCGCTCCGGTGACGTCAAGGAAGCGTCACCCAGTGCTGGATTAAGGTGAGTTAAACTTTAGTTTAAAACGCTCTTTGAGTGTTTTTCTAGGGGGGTGGAGGGGGCATAGACTAATGTCAATACAGCATTATTTTATTAACCATAAAAAAGGTTTTGAGAAACCCTTTAAAGCACAAGGAACTACCACGACCAGTGCCATGCTTTAGGAGCTGGAGGGGGGATTTATATTGTGTGCATGAAAGTATCTATATGTATGTGTAAAGGAGTATAGTGTGTGTATCAATACCTATAATTTACAATCTCTACTAACACAAACTGTGTGTTTACAGCCACATTAAAAAAATAGAGATATTTCATTCACTGGCAATCTTCTCAATAAATTTTTTGTGAAGTCCCATTACTGCTTCTTATCCTTCAAAAGGAAGCTATGAAATACAATTATCTAGTTGTAATACATTATAAAGAGAATGCATTAAAGGAACACTATGGGCACCATAACAACTTCACCATAATGGCGCCTGATCTGAAGTATCCTGATTAAAGCCTCGGACATTCTTAAGAAATGCAGGGTCAGAGTGTTTGGGCCCTGGCTTGTCAACATTTGGGTTAAACCATTAATTAATTGTTTAAACCGCTTCAGGTAAGATGGCGACTGGGACTTACGGTCACTATAAAAATTTAACAACTGTGAAGTCATGGAGACCAGAGTGTCCCTTTAAATAGAGATTCTAAGCAATGCTGTATGCTGTAAGTTAAGCATGGAAACATAGCTGCAAACATTTTTTTTTAAATGTCCAGGGACACGGTGGCAACTACTCACACAGATGTAAACAGACACACAAAGATACATGCACAAACAGATACACATGCACGCTGCGACAAACACACACAGATACATACAGTGATACACACAATAACACACACAGAGACACACAGTGACACATACAGATACATACAGTGACATACTGACACACACAATAACACATACAGATAGACAAAGGAAACACATATTTGTAGCCAAATTCCTGGATCTGTCCCAGCAAACTCAGGACAGTTGGCTACTATGTAGCTTACTATAGCGATAATAATGTTAGGAGCCTGCCTCTGGTCTTTGTCAAAATCAGAGGATTCCCAGGCACCCTAAATACACCTCTCAACTGGAGACATTAAAGAGAGGAAGCTTTACATTTCCATTATCTATTCAAATATTTGTAAGACACTAGAAGCATAAAGCAGCCTAAAAAAAACTAATTAAAAATGGCAAACTATGATGTACTGTACACTCAATATATTCACATAAATGTAGAATAAAAAGCGTTTTTTGGTGTAAATTATTGTTCAGTGATATCTAAAAATGGTTTATTTAAAAAAAAATCTAAATTTACCCAAACTTAACCTTCCATATTTTTGATTCACAATTTACAAAAATATTAGTGAGGTAAAAATGTTCCTTGCAATATCAGATAGCGTCTGAAATATCTACAAAGAAGCAGAAATACTATTATTATTATTACATAAAGTGTGACAAAAACAAATTTAAAAGGAAAACTTTGAAGGCCATGATTGCAAGTGGCCTTGGAAGAATCTGATGGAATTTCGAGGAAAGCAGCTTCCTAAAAATGTAGTAGAAATAATGTAAAAAGTAAATAATGTAAAGTAAAATACCACAACAAAAGTAAGAACAGTTACACCAAGCACCTGTGCAATACAAGGCAGTCTGTAATGTGTTTTTACATCATGTAATCCCTCCTTATCCCTCTCTGGCTGATAGAATGTAGGGATTAATTCTGACCATCAAAAAGCTGTTGTAGAGTGTGAGCAAAGAGTCACACAAAGAAATGGGGTATTTGGATACCAACGTAACAAATTGGTCAACAGTAAAAAAAATGTGCAGTGGGTAAGGGTACCTAAATCATGGACTTAAAATGTGGGTAATAGATTAAGCAGTGCACTAATATACAGAATGAGGGAGAGAGGGTAAAAGACAGAGGGATTATGGGCAGGGGATGAGGTACCTACCTAGAAGTTCCTATGGCAGGTTAGTCACTTCCAGGGCAGCATGCTTTCTCACAGCAGAACAGGTGGTACTCTCTGCAGCAGTCGTTGTGTAAGTGTTAATACTATGCAGACTATGTAAGGGAGCCTGTGATTGGCTGAGTATTGCAAATAGCTCTTTGCTTTCCCATGGGGGCTGTACAGAAGACGGCAATGTCTCCAAATACAAATATATGGCTGCTATCTGTCCTATGGGGAGCATGCTGCTCTATGCAGTAAACAGGGCTTCTCTGTACCTTGCAGCAGGACTCCTGATACTGCCCACCAGTCCTTCTTGTCGGGATTGTCCTGGTAGAGTGAATTACCAGGGACAGACTCCAATGTCAGACTACTTCATGTCAGTGGTCTCTTGGTGCTTTCTTACCTTCAAGTGTTAAACCATTTTCAAATGGGTTAAAACTTAAAGGGACACTGTAGGCACCCAGACCCCTTCTGCCTATTGGAGTGGTCTGGGTGCCAACACCCACTACTCTTAACCCTGCAACTGTAATTATTGCAGTTTTTTATAAACTGCAATAATTGCCTTGCAGGGTTAACTCCACCTCTAGTGACTGTCTACTAGACAGCCACTAGAGGGCACTTCCGTGTCCATAGCACAGGAAACCTGTGCTAGAGCGTCGCTGGACATCCTCACGCTGTGTGAGGACCTCCAGCGTCGCTCAATTCCCCATAGGAAAGCATTGAAAAGCATTTTCAATGCTTTCCTATGGAGAGCTCTAATGCGCATTAGGTCTCCTCAGCCGGCGGGCAGGATCAGTCTCGGCCACCGGCTGACGTAATCACTGGGAGGAGCGGCGGCGAGCATAAACCACCGCCGAGGGACCCCTTCAGCTACCGGGGGATGGGTGGTGGGAAGGAGAGGGTACTTGTAGTGCCAGGAAAACGGATTGTTTTCCTGGCACTGGAGTTTCCCTTTAAATGGAGTCCCTCAGGTGCCAGTCTGTCTTTCTCTCCTCAGTTACTTGCAGATGCATTTGATCAAGCAGCTGTGATAGGCTGAGAAGAGCGCTGGGAAATTCTGGACAACTTCACTGATGTGAAATGGTTTCGGTAACAATAGCGTTCCTTTTAATTTTGTCTACAATAATAACTTGGACTGAGCTGTCTCTGTCATCCCAGCAGGAGGAATTGGGCCATAAACCAAGCTTGTGCAGCCCATGGCTCTGCCGAGAGCTGCACATAGCCCGGTCTATTAACCAATGTCTCTATAAATGTACTTTATTAAGTTAACAGATTATAGATATCAAGTCCGATACCTAGTGAGATTAACGTTGAATGAATCTCTCTCATTACGTTGCCGTAAAGTTCCTTTTGCCACGTCTCCAAATTGCTCCATTCTTCTTCAGAGAAGTATATAGCAACTTCATTAAATATAACAGCGGTCTGAAATGAGAAATAAAAGCATCTGTAGGAAAACAGATTTCATTTCATATGTTGCTATAAAATTGTGTCAATTAAGTTTAAGGATTTATTACACCTCAAATGTATTAACGGCAATCATGCTATTATCTTTTTGTATTTACAGCTCCTTAAAGATCTGCAATTTATATTAATTGACCTTACAGAGAGGTAAAGGCAGTCCTATTTATACTTGAGTGAGGATATTTTGCAGAGATCTCTTGTGTACTGTTTTTGAAGAAAAGAAAAAAAAAAGTACACTTCTCTGCATTGCAGCAACAGTAAACTGCGATCAGTGACATCCTCCAATCAATCCATGTGTGCGATTGCTATATCATTTTCACTAAGCAAAGAGGACAGCAAACAATGAAACTGCAAGCTAAAACGGGAGACCTATTCTACCGTACTCTAACACACAATACAAATAAATCCAGGGATCACAAAATAAATGTGTTTTTTTTTTCTCGCTTAAAAAAATACTTATAGGGCCCAAGGGAAAAATCTGTGTTTAACAAGTGCCTGAAGGCCCTAGAATCCGGCATATTCTAACTACACAATATGACACCATTTTTTATGATAACAGGTGCAAAAGCCAAAAATTATACAAAATTATTGCTGGGCCCTAAAATATCACTATGTATCTCTAAAGCAACCTGTTACTTAATTCTTTATGATTATAATTATTATTATGGAATCGTAAATACCCAATTACTACATTTATTAAGGTAGGGATCAACAAGGTATATGTATATTTTTTTCTATTTTGTTGCCCAGATTTTTTGAAAGTAGGCTAGGAAGCTTGAGGTTCCAATAAGCCATATACCAATAACCCTCCTATCATACTGCACACAGGGAGGAACAAGTATGGGAATAACTTTGGAGTGGGTTTCCTTTTTCGTCGTTCATCTGTTTGCTATTTTTTCTCTTGAACACGATTTTAATATCATAGGTTGTAGTGAGTATGCTGAGATAGAAGGAAATAAGGCTTAAACTTTCACAGGCAGTATACCTTTTTATATTTAGTCATATTTCTACCATCCAACGTAGGCACCATTTTATTTTTAAATGGATGATGGTTGCGGCTGATTTCACCTTAAAGAAGAATAAGAAATATATTAAAATAGTATACAAGATAGAGGTAGAAGTCCAGTGTTCATGAAAATTAATCTGGAACTGAAACTGTGGTCAGTGATCAGAAAATGTAAATTATACACATATGTGTGTGTCAGGGGTGGGCCAATGCCTTCCCAAGGTAAGTAGTCAAATTGTTTGCAAACAGTGTGACAACTTACCTGGGGTTTGCCAGGCCCCAATTTCCGCCTCTTCTGCTGCCGAAAGCTCCCTTTATTGATGCGCTCATTCAAGAACCATTTCCTAGACTGTAGAGCTTAGCTCAGTGGAGCGAATGGAAGCTCCTAGCAGGAGCTTCTGGGTTTAAGAAGAGGCTGTGATCATCATCTGGTGGACCTCAGGTAAGGTGTCAAACTGTCTGCAAATCATATGACTACTTACCTTGGGAGGGTGCCAGACACCATATCCACTACAGTTTGATGTAGTGGCTATGATTATTATTATTTTATTATTTATATTGCGCCATCAGATTCCGTAGCGCTGTACAATGGGTGGACTAACAGACATGTAATTGTAACCAGACAACTGGACGTACAGGAACAAAGAGGTGGAGGGCCCTGCTCCATGAGCTTACATTCTAGAGGGAGTGGGGTATAGTGACACAAAGGGTAAAAGGAGGGGTACAAAATAGGTTGTTAGAAAAGTATTAATTGAGGGCTTAGTTGATATCCTTTCTTGAAGAAGTGAGTTTTCAATGATTTTTGAATGAGTGGAGACTGGGTGAAATTCTTATGGAGAAGGGAAGGGAGTTCCACAGAAGAGAAGAGGTGCAGCCCTGGAAAAGGAGGTGAGTGTTCTTTTAAACAGAATATTAAAAAAAAAAAAAATAAGGATACTGAACGGTACGTTATAAATGACATAAAGAGTACAGCTATATATAAAGAAGTTAAACGTGACAATCATATTGATTGGCAGCAGATGAAAGTGCTGTCCTGCAGTACATGAAATTTATATCCTGGTGTATTCCTGATTTACTAGCAGTTGATTTCTACATAGTACTTTACACATTGGATATTGCTGTCTTGGAAAAACAAGCTAGATGCAGCATCCCCATCTTAAAATCACAGGCACTGAGTGTGATCTTGAGAGGAGGAGAAAATGTTTTATACCGCATTGTATTCTTCTTCGTCAGACTCAAACCTGTGCCAGCACACCTTAAAGAACTTGGGGGGGGGGAACTGGTATATGGCAGCGACGCTGTGTGCAGGTGAAAAGCGAGCAGAATATGACATATACCTACTTCACACTGAAAGCCCCGTTGAGTAAATATAACCAAATCACAATACTGAATACAATTTATATTGTATGGTATAACTGTATTGACGCATTATATGGGATGGTGTGTGTGTGTACAAAAAGCATGTAAGGTACACATTACACAAATTAGCTTTGAGCACTAAAACCAAAAAAATAAAATAAAGACTTGTATATCTGGTCTGAGGATCACTCAATCATCTTGTTCTTGCACTGGCTGCCTTGACATTGATCCTAGGTCAGCCTTGACATACAGTCCCACATGCCAAGCTTAGCCTGCCTTTCTCCTTCAACAGAGCAGCCAGCCAAGGGCACCAGGGGGTATTTAAATCAGGCAACCTTTAAAGCAGGACTGGGCACCACTGGCAACCCTCCAGCTGTCACTGAGCAGCCACCCCCATCACTCTCAGCCTGAGGGTAGGAATGCCTTGTTGCAGGGATGAAAATATTGGGGTTCTACCTTTTCTGGGCCCCCCATGACTTATGTTGATAGAAGGGTGGTGCATTCAGATTGCTTTAACCTAATATAGTGTTGGTTTAGACAAATATCATTAAGGGACAACTCACCCCCAGACTCCAGCTCTCCTGTCCTGAACATGAAGCGATCAGGGAATGATGGGCAGCGACACTAGCAGAGCCCTTGTGATGGGGAAGAACGTGCAGGCTTCAAATGGGCATTGCGGGCACTGGGTTACAGCAGGGAAAAAAAAAAAAAGAGCTAGGCAGTCAAGAAACTACAAATACCGACACCGCGCGCGGCTCGTTCAAACACGCGCAACTTTATTGAACGTCTGTTAGTTTGCAACAGTTTTTATTTTTTTATTTGACACACAGCAACAGGCAATATTGTTTTACGCATGCGCACAGGAAGCCATGCTGTGTTCTACTGATACAGTGTGCTAATGTTGCAGAGGATTCTGGGTGAGCAGCTGTGTGGTTTGTACTGAGATTTTCTTATATGCATAATGGGGGTGGGGGGGAGAAGGGGGTCACTTAGAGTTTTAGGAGAGACTGGTAGAGTGATTAGGCAGGTAAAATCATGACCTTATTCTGTTTTCACCATTGTAGGTGCAGAGAATGGGGTTGGGGTGTTATAGCCTTAAATAACAATTTTAATGTGTTTTATTTCCCCCTCCCCCCTCCCCCCCCAAATTCAAGGCAGTTATAGAGATATGTCAGTAGTTAATATTGAGATGTGTAACTAGGTCATTTCTTATTTTAATTTGTTTTTTAATAAGGATTATCTGGCTAATTTTAGTGTGTACAAATGGGGGAGATGCTGAAAAGTGACTTTATGTTTCTAGCACTAATGTGTTTGGAATAATAACATTGTGCTAAAAATGGCATTAAAAGTGGTAACTTTCTCTAAAAACAAATTAAGTGAGAGTAATTGAGGGCATAGCTGTTCATTATTTATAAAGAGAGAGCAGGGTGGAGTTTAGCCCTATTTAGCTCAGAATTAATAAAATATACAGACAAACCTCAAACTGTTCTGTGTTTCAGAGCAAAATCCTGTAAGTATAGTGAAAACAGCCCCTTGTCGTCCAAGCAGGTTAGGCAGCAGGGTGCCCCCTAGAAGCTTTTGCCCTGGGCTGATATCTGATTCTCCTTCACATAGTGCCTGCTGGTGTTCTGTCAATAAGTGAAACAAAGTAAAAATGTTAAGTGAATTGTTTTTCATTTTATTTTTGTTTAGGTTCTGCAGACAAAATTAATTTTTCACAATTTATAGCACCGACGGGATTTGGCAGATTTGCTGTTTGGAGAATCACGCTAGAGAATCATGTCTGAGAACATTTCCATGCAGGTATCATACAGTATATGGTTTTATATGTGCAAACATTTACTGCTTTGTATGAAAGATTGCTAGAGCTTTCTGTAAGTGATCTACTAGCCAAACGTCACCCCTGGAATTAAACAGTAAGCACCATCACAATTTTATATTATTGCAGAGGTAATGGTTCACAGAACATCATAAATGCCCTCTTAGTGCTTAGAGTAATTTAGAAATGCAGCAATTTGTAAAAATTGCTGCAGTCCTGATACAGCCTCTTAGAATTATCAGTTATGCTAAGTTCTCGGCTAAGCCGTGTCAATTTTGCAGTGGGAAATAGAAAGCATAAGCATTGATGGCTAGATTTAAAATTGCCATTTTTGGGGAATTATAATTCCTATGATGCTCAGTCACACTTTAGTGAGAAGGTTATTCATGATAGTGGGCACTCTAAGTCAATATTTACAGAATTACCATTAGCCACAGTTAAAGCAGCACTGTCCCCATATGGGGAGTTCCATAAGGTGAGTTTAACTTCCCCTGCGGACGCCACCATCTTCTTCTGGTCGGTCCTCTTAAAGCTCCAGGAGTGTATGTGAATGTAGTGGCTCTGGTGCACTGCTCCTGTCCCTACATCCTCAGCAATGCAAACCCTGCTTTTTTACTAACAATAACAATTTATGCAACTTAAATGTAATTTAGAACCTGAACAATGTATTTTATTTACACCTGCTATTTCTAAACACATTTATTGTAGTTTAAAGACTAATTACTGTGAATATTATTGCTGTGAAGCTCTATTACACATTCAGACCCTCCAACAACATGGAAGTCCTTGAAATAAATTATATTCGAAAAAAAAAAAAAGAGAGGAAGTGGGGGAAGGTGGTATTTGGGCTCAAAATAAGGACAATTGGGAGGTATGCATCTCTTTGAGGAGATTTTGCAGAGCAGTAATTGGTGCACATCTGTTCAAGAGACCCAATGCCTCCCTATGGGGAAGCATTAGAGTTGTTGAGATCATCTGCCTCAGCGAGACCGGAACGCCAGGGGATATGAGATAAGTAAATCTGCTTTATTTTACTATTCTATGGGTGGATAATAATCTAAGTAGTTAAAGGAACACTATAGTGTCAGGAAACGTATTCCTGACATTATAGTTCTAATAAGATATGAAGAGTAAAATGTGAGTTTGCCCACCTTTCTTCCATTGCTGTGCAGGTCTTGTCACAGCTGGCCCCACCCCCTCTGTGGCTGAGATTATCAAACTTGATGGTCTCAGCCAATCCAATGTTTTCTCATATGAAAGCATTGGAAGGCTATTGTGCATGCGCGGCAAAATGTTGCACAATCAGCATCTCTTTATAGAAATGCATTGAATCAGTGCATCGCCATGGAGAGCGTGGAGACGGTGAATGTCAGTTCACCCAGGAAGCACCTCTAGTGGCCGTCTAAATGAGTGTCACTAGAGGTGTTCATAGGCAGCAAACTTAAAAGGCAGTATTTACATTAAAAAGCCTGCAGAGACATACTATATACACCAGAACAACTTCATTCACCTGTAGTTCTTTTGGAGACTATAGTGTCCCTTTAAGAAAATGTATTTAGGAAGTAGTTTTATTTTCATACAAAAGTTAATCCTTTAATCATTCCTATTTCAGACATTTGTGACATTCAACGATGTTGCTGTTTATTTCTCTGAAGAAGACTGGAAATGTCTAGAAGAATGGCAGAAAGAATTATACAGGAATGCCATACAAGAAATTCATGGCGTTTTGACCGCCATGGGTAATACCAATGTGTGTTTAAATGTACAGTGATAACAATAGTGTGTGTGTATGTGTGTTGTTTCAAAATCATTCACAAACCAAATGGTTTGCTAGACCTTTAACATGTACAATGGTAATACTTCTATAGTCAGAGCAATAATACATTGCTTAAAAAAGTGTTATATCTAACACATATATAAAAACAGCTTGCAAAAGCTGTTTGAAGCCTTTGCAAGCCTTCCCCTTCTAACTGATCCCAGACCAGTCACTGACTTCCCAATGCGGCTTAATGTGAACTTTGTGCAAATCAGAGGCTATGAGCCATCGCTGCTTCTTGTGTTTACATCAACGGTGCTAAATAAACCAGGAAGTTACAGGACCAGTTCTCTGACTGACAGCCGGGGAGTGTAACAAAGTTCATTTATAAAAGTGCCAGTTTCTATTGAAATCTGCACCTTTTGTAAAATAAAAAAAAGACACTTTCTACACGTAAAGTGCTTCAGCAAGTTCAAGTGTATGGAGTGTCCTTTTAAGGTCTCATTAACATGTTAACATCTCAGTAGACGTATTGCATTAACAATACACTTTCTGAATGTTTAGGATAAGTCTAAACATTTATCAGTCTACGTTCTTAATACATTTTTAAAAATAATATCTGATATGGATATGTTTAATCTTCTATATAGAATTTTAGGTGGAAAGTCATATTTACACAGAGGTTCATACTGTTACTTTATATGAATAATTTCTGTTAACATTGAAACACCGTAATGTACTGGGGGGGTAGCAGGGGAACAGGGGAGCTGCGATGTGGTGCTGACCCTGCGTCGGGAGATCGTCCGCCTCCCCCGGCAGTCAGGGTGCTGTTCATGCTAGGCCTCAGATTTGGTTCCCGGCAAACCAGCTTTGATTGTGTTGTGTGTGGTATCATAATGTTCAGCTCAACTTCGCCTGTCCTCCGGTTGCGCTTTTTATCACGTTTCTGGGCTAAATTGTGCCGCTTAATCGAGTTAATGATTGTGCAGAGCAGGAGCTGTGTTTGCATGCGTCTGCTAAGCTCCGCGTTCAGGCACCCTCCTGGCCTGTAAAACATTACTGTACTTATTTACAACTTTCCATGAACAAATTATAGTTGCATGTGTAAATGTTACCATTTCTGTCTGCTTATAATAAATGTAACTAAACGTGCGACTTTTAGTATAGTAGTAATACTAAGCTAAAGTGTAGTGTTCATTTTCCATTTTGTTATATAACTTGAATTTTTTGTTTGTTTTTACATTTAGGTTATGCAATCAGCAACCCTGATGTCTTAGTAAGGATTCAAAATATTGATTCTTTGAAACACAGTAATTCAGATATTCCCAAAAGAAAAAGCAGTAATTTTGCAAGTGGTAAGCAATACTAATAGCTACATTGCCAAATAACATATCTTAAACTTATTATACTTCCAGAAACAAACTATTATATTTCCACTATATTTCCAAACAAATTAGACTAATAAACCTTAAAATATGATTTAGCACAACATCTGTGCAATTTCAAATTATTAATAAATTGGTCTAATCAGGTCATGTGAGTCTTTACTAGACAAAGGTAGATCTTATCAAATTAATATTTATAAGAAAAAAACAAAGTCACAGCGTATACAAAGAGAGATGACAAACTATTTACACCAACAACAGTTATAAATCAACTTACTTAGTTGGCAAATAGTATTTTCTGTCTGGGGTAGTGGCTCCGTCAAGGAAAGATTGTTACTTACACAAAATTAGATCTTGGGCCATAGTGAGCACACTAGACATTTTCACATCATTAGATTTATAGTTTCATTATTCATCTCTGGTTTCCAAGTTGTCCAAGAGGTGGTATACGCTGTGGGAAGGTGTACCCATAGAAAGAATAAGTGCACTCCTCTTGTGTTTCAGACCAACACCAATCTAAATATAAAATCTTATTCTATTTTCTCCTTTGTGCTTGCGACAAAAATAATTCTTGCATCTATGAATTTTTCAATTCCGTAGTTATATCACACTTCCTACTTATCATACAATTCCTTTCAAATGTCTTAAGATGTGCTCGCCATATTTATACTCTCTTTGTAGGGCGTGCTTGTGCCATTCTGAATGTGCACAAAAAAGGCATGATTATTATTAGTTTTTTGGGGTTATTATTAATGTTTCTTTGGATATGACTTTGGCAGGCAACGGTCTCCTGACTGCTAAT